AGGAGACAGATAGTGTATATATAGTTTTTGAAGATTTATTTATTTACTTGAGAGGCATAGTTACAGAGAGAGGGAGAGAGAGAGAAAGGTCATTCACTGGTTCACTTCTCAGATGTCACAAAGGATGGAACTGGGCTGATCTGGAGCCAGGAGCTTCTTCCAGGTCTCCCACGTGGGTGCAGGGGCCTGAGGACATGGGCCATCTTCTACTGCTTTCCCAGGTCTTAACAGAGAGCTGGATTGAAAGTGGAGCAGCCAGGACTTGAACCAGCACCCACATGGGATGTGGGCACTGCAGGTGGAGGTTTAACCTACAACACCACAGTGCCGGCCCTGCGAATAGTATATCTTAACAGCCAAGGACTTGGACGTCACTTGAAGAAAGGGAAAGTGGAGTGAATGCCCACAGGCTCCCAGGAAGAGGCAATGGACGTGTAGTTCTGGGTAATGAGAGTCAACACAAGCACTCTGCGACTTTTACTAGAGAGAAATGGCCACCTTCCATTAAAGAGTTGCAAACCCAGGTACCTAAAGGGCCACATATGGGCCAGAAATGGGTAGGAGGCTAAGTGGAGTGGTGATGACCACAAGCACATGGGCCCACTGGGAGAGGCAGCTGCTTGGTGGATTCCAACTGGCAAGAGGCCAGTTAAGCAGGACCTACACGCTAGATCTGCAGGTGTCTTTTAAGAAGTGAGACATCTGGGGCTCAGTGTGACCCTATACAGTTTTAACTTGGAATGACATATCCAAACATACTCATGCACAGGTCTCCCACGTGGTGCAGAGGCCTAAGCATTTCTGTCCTTAGGAGGATGTACCTGCGCAGGAGCCTCCCTTGGGCACCAGGAGCATAGATCCCTTTACATCTCATTGGCTGCCGTGTACCAACCATCTGCTGTTCTCAGACTCATCACTGACAGACAGAATAGGACCACTGCAGTTGACTTTGGCTATCAGGGTTGTCCCCTGGGGCTGAGCAAGTCTCCCCCGATGTTTCACTCCGTGAGGGAGGGTAGATGCCACAATAAAACTGGAGTGTTGTTAGAAAGAAGGAAGAATGACTGTTCGGAAGCCGTCCAGCAATGGCTGTTAGAGAATTGTTCTAAATATACGTGAGAAGGGCTCAACTGTGGAGACCAAATAATCTTCTGGCGTTCTTCTGAGGTTGGCTCTGATTTCTAAGCGGTCCCTGACACTGGTACTTATCCTCTTCATAATTGTAGCTTCATAGAAATTCTAGCTGGAAGGGGCCATTCTGAGACCCAGATGGTTAAATGTCCTCCCTGAAGTTACACAATCATCTAATGGCAGTGCCAAGGCCCTGTTCCTTGACTCTCCGTCCAGGGTATTTTCTTTCACTCTTTACTCGTGAGACTTTGGAACTGTTGGAACAGCTTTCAAACTCATGGCCAGCGCTGGTCCCTTTTGTAATTAACAGCTCCTTGTAATGCGTTTATTTTGTTTGTTCAGCCAGCTTGAACTCCAGTAGACTCTGTGCTTTGAGAAGCCTGTGGAGGCCCTTGTTCTGTGTTTCAGTAGCATATGCACCAGCCACCCCGGGGTTCCTTCTCACCTTACATTGGACGTCAATTTCTTTCTCTCCGCGTGTCTCCCTGAGGCTTCCTCTTCTTCTCCAGCTTCGTCCGTGATCCGTTGCCTGTTTCTAAGCACACTTTGTGGTCACCCTCTCTCTTTGTGCCTGTCCTTACATGGGCTATGGTCTCTGTAGCCTATTGGCTTGTGGTTGTCACAAATTTCCATTTTGTTGTGTGTTCCCAAATGGGGTGCTGAAGTTATTTTGGTAACCACTGCATTGGGTGAGATTCAAACTATTAATTAAAATGTTCAGACAGCTTCTCCTATTACAAGATCTCTCCTGGTTTTACAAACCAAGAGGAGTTTCCTCTTGTACTCTAATTGTAGACGAAGCACAGATAGCAGGTGGTTTATTTTGGTCTGCCAGGAGCCTGAATGCTTGAGATTTACTCTGTGTTTGTTTGTTTGTTTCTAGGTCAAGATGCTGATAAATGTGAAAAGCATCTTATGGATGTGCTCGGCCCTGATAGCGACTCAGGCACTACATCAAGGTGAGCCTGGTCACAATTTCTGGTGCTCATTGAAATAAAAACTCAAGTACGGGGGATGGGATGGCAACATGGAATCGCTAGAATGAAGAGTTGGTTTGTAACTCTTCAGTGCTGGAAACTTTTAGTGAAATATTGCAGAGGTGAAAACCATGGTTTTTAGTGGATGGATCATCGGACTCTGTCTCTCCCTGTTTCTCTCTAACTCTGCCTTCCAAATAAATAAACACTTTGAACACACAGCATTTTTAAGTAAATGAATCAGAACCAAATAATGAACAGGATGCCAACGGTTCACTTGGGTTTTCAGAACCTGCCCTGGTAGCTTTGGACTACCCAGAAAGGCTCATAGATGGCCCTGGACATGTTTTACAATTCTAAGTATTTCGCTAGTGCTTTGCAAACTCTTTCCAATGCAGAAAAGGGCCTAGTGTTTGAAAAGCATCGAGAAGATAAAGAGAAGGCTGACAGTTAGGTTTTGACCCCTGCTACCTGGGGCGGGGCCGGGGCGGGGTGGGGGGGGGGTCTATGATTCCAAGTTTCCTCTTTCCTGTGTTTGTTCGAGCAGCTGTGTCGGAGCACCGGGACCGACACTCCCCTGAGTCCTGTCCGTGTCCCTCCCTCCGCAGGCTCAGCTTTCACTTCTTCCTCATTCGCCCTGGGCCTCAGATCCTCAGAGAAGATTCGCTCAGGCACCTGCAAAGTGGCTGGGTTGGTAGCACCTCTTTGAAAAAGTGACAATTTAACTGAAATGAGAATGATGAGGAAAACCCAGTCAGCCTCATCTGGCCCTAAGTTTAGCAAGACGTGTCATCAGGTGATAGGAAAGTTACTGTCCCTGAAGATGAGTAGGAAATGTGGACAGAAAGATAAAGGCCAGCTCATATAAATAATGCCGCTTAACTCCTGGATGGGACACCCTGCAGGCTAGGGCTATTTTTAGTGCCTGACATCAACTCATTGACCTAGGAACACGCACGGGGAAACTATGTTGCTTGCACAATGCCCCACACCTGGTAGATAGCAGAGCTGGGGGAGGAGCCCAGGCTGTCCTGGGCGTGTGTGCTCCTCATTGCCACACTGTACTTCTTATTTCTCTAGGGCCTTTGTGGCCTTCAGAAAAGACTAGATTTTATTCCAGGTGCAGTAGGAATCCCTGACGGATGTCAGCCCATGAAGTTTAAGAGCTGAGAAATGCTGGAAAAATCCCGTTTTCTGCCTTATTCTGATTTCCCTGTTGTTGAGTGAGAGTGGCAGCAGGGACCTTGTCGCTCCCCGTCTTCGTGGAGGAACGACACAGGACCCTGCGTTGTTCTTTTGTCTGCTCGGCCCTCCCCGGGTTTGCTGCTGGTTCTTCCCGGGTTGGCTACCGACCCTTCCACCTCCGTGGAAGGGCAGTTCCCCCTGCCACTTTCCCCACTTCCGCGGGGGAGCGGCACACCGCCGGCTGGCTCTCTCGGGGGCTGCACAGGTGTTCCTTCAGATAGATGTTCCTGGTGCATGTTGTCTCTCTCCTCCTTTATAGTCCTCTTCCGCCAATCCCAACTCTGCTACCCACACGCCGAGTATGCTGCTCTCCTCCAATCAGGATCAGCTCCTGCTGTTTATTGGTTGAACTGGAGGCAGCTGTGTAGAAGCTGTTTCCTCCTCTCCCAGCGCCATATTGTGGGAGAGCAGATGCATAGAATAAGTCTTAATTCGAGTAACAGTCTAGTCCGAGTTGCTCCCCACAGGACCTGATATCAGTTATCAGGGGAGGCTGGGCATGACATGAGGGAGCTCGTGGCAGGTGGGTGGTGTGGAGATGGGCAGAAGGGAACTGCTGGGTGGAGGCAGAGGACTCACGTCCATGGGGGGGCTGGATGGGTGTGGTGAGGACGTGGCAGGAGCCAATGATGAGTGACGCATGAGATGGCTCCTCCTCCCTTCCCCTCCTCCCTCACCCTCCCTAACCAATTTAAAAGCCCTTCGACTATGTTCTTAGGGTCCTCTGTGCTGTTACAGCAGCTGCAGCCAATACAACCCTTTCGCCCAAGATGAATGTAGGCTGCAAGAGACTTTTCTTCTCCAACACATTGCCAGACTTAACCATTGTTTGTGTTGACTGAATGAGGGAATGAATAAATAAAGGGGACAGATGGATGTCACAGCAGATGACCTGAGGATTGGGAGAGTCTAGGCTCCACGGTTTTGTTACCAGCCCGAGAGCTGTCGTCCTCAAACTTTTGGAGCAGTGAAGGGCAGGGTGACAGAGGGGAGGGCTAAGCGCATCAGGTGAAGAGGGAAGGTATAGGATGGGATGTACAACAGCGAGTTGGCTTGGGCGGGCAGTGATGGAAGTGGGTTGCAGAGACAGTAGTAGCCAACCATTCCTGAGTGCAAGTTTGGATTTCCTCCTAAAAGCAAAGAAAGGACCCCCATACTGAAACACAAATAAATAATTGATGATGTAGCTGCTTTACATGATTTTAGAAAATAATGAATGTAGCCAACAATACTGAGAGATCTCTCCGTGTTCTTGGTAAACCCATGCTTACTTTTGAGAGATGAGGTTAATTTAGAACTATTTTCAGGACAATTTTATTTTTTCATTGGAGAGGCAAAGGGTGAACAGCTAAGATCCGCATAAAACAGACCTGTCAAGTTCATGATGGGATATATCACAGTGACTTATTGCTGAGTCAGCATAGATACTTTCATCTTAAGATTTTCTTTATGAACAACTTGTCCACTGTGATTCAAAATGCTGTTTCCTTGGAAAGAGCATTATAAACTGTCCTAATTGTGGATTAGCTAGCGTTGAGCTAGTTATTGTGAAATTCCTCTAATGGGAAGAGGTGGAGTCATGAGCAAGCAGGAGTAGCGAACTAGATAGTGACCCTGTCACTTCAGAGAGTGATAGAGTCCCATATTCCCAATCGGACATCTATTTGGCCAGTGTTTCTCTCTGTCTCCCTGTCTCTCTCTCTTTCTCTCTCTCTCTCTCTAGTCAAACTGTACAGATGGACTTCACATCGCGCTTACTGTGCAGAACCTACTGACAAGAGAATGAGGGGGGAACTGACCACTCATCATTTCAAGCTTTCTCCCTTCGCATACCTGTCTACACCACAAGCCACCTGGTGGGAACAGTGAACTTTTTGTTGGGATTAATTTTTACTGCTGCCACCGTCAGAGTTTCAGACAAGTTCTTGCAGGTGGCAGTGTGTCTTCAACATGCATAGTCTATAAACATGATACTCTGAGCTGCTAGGTTTCTTTTTGAAAATGTTTAATGTAGTGAACTTAGTACCTGTGACCCAGGGAATTAAGATTTAATACTTAGAAGATTTGGCCTCTAAGGTTTTTGTCAGTCTTGTCTTTAAGATTGGACTCTACATGAATACATGTGTATGTCTGACAAAAGGTCTTAATTTTTTTTTTTTATCGGTCACACATGGAACAGTAAGTGGCCCTTAGGAAATGGCTTGCTGGCGTCATTCTGTCCCGATGCACCTTTTCCTTACAGCAGAGCCACTGAGCATTGAGTGATGCACCACGTGACCAAAATTTCCCCATGGGATCGACTCAGCTGAATCCCATGTCCATCCAGGCTCCTACACTTTGTGAAAAGAACTGTAACTTACCAGTAGGTATTAAGAAACTAGAAGTCATTTATATTAAAGTATTTTTATGGAGGTGATAGAAGATTGTATAATTTATACCATAATTGAAGTTGAGGGGAAAGCTGTTTACTTTTCCCTTACAAAAGCAGTATTTTATTTGTGCTGCAGTTAATATTCTAAATAATTTTATGAAGGACAAAGAAATTTACTAAAACATATGATAAAAGTAAACCAGGAGATTTTTTTCTTTGACAGATAGAGTTAGACAGTGAGAGAGAGACAGACAGAAAGGTCTTCCTCCCATTGGTTCATCCCCTCAAAGGGCTGCTATGGTGGGAACTACGCCGATCCGAAGCCAGGAGCCAGGTGCTTCTCCTGGTCTCCCATGCGGGTGCAGGGGGCCCAAGGACTTGGGCCATCCTCCACTACACTCCTGGGCCACAGCAGAGAGCTGGACTGGAAGAGGGGCAACTGGGACTAGAACCTGGTGCCCACATGGGATGCTGGCGCTGCAGGTGGAGGATGAACCAAGTGAACCACGGCTCCAGCCCCATAGATTTTTTTTTTAGGTCACAGAATATTTGCTCCTTCTTGAAATCCCTATTCTTGGCAAAAATGAATAAATGAATAAATAAATAAATAAGGAAAAAAAGAAAAATATTTCTGTTGTTGTCATCTACCTATTTGGGTCCAAATTCTAGGAATGTGAAACACGTAGGGCTACTCTGAAGGAATCCCCTGTGAACCCTATGTATGGATTTACTAAAAAGATCACAAAACAAGTCAAACATTTTCACTGCCAATAGTAACTAAAGAATCATAGAAATGGGTTGGGTCCCAGCGTCCGATGGGAGCTGAAATGAAAGTTTGCTGTGTGATTTAGTTTAGGGCTGGGCAGACCGAGTGGGCACTGAAGCTCAGAGCCCCTTGCCGGGGCATGAGGAGACGTGTGTTCCCGCTCAGCTCTGTCACCAGCCCACTGGGAGCCGGCCACTTCCTCGCAGCGGAGTATGTCGGGAGGAGCTGGGCCAGTTTCCCTGCAAGGGTGGGCTCTAAATCAGAGCTTCTGTTGTAAGCCAAGGAGGCCATACAAATGGAATTATTGCCTTCCTGTTACATTCCAAAATACTAATTGTCTTAGTAACATTTAAAAGATTAACTTGCTGCAGCTAATAGCACACTTCATTTTGCTTTTTGTTTAACCTAAAGTCCCTTAAATCTGCTTTGGACAAGCGACATATGGATTCATAAAGTGACAAACAAATGCAGTGGCCATTTTAAGTTTGAACTAGATTAGTGATTTCTGTCATAAGTAGAACAAATGCAGTACCATATTCATTATTTTATATTTATTTGAGTCATATGAAAGGTTTTTGTAGGTCAGTCTTAAGTTAAAAAAAAATTTATTTATTTATTTTTGAAAGTCAGAGTTACAGAGAGAGAGAGAAATCTTCCATCTGCTGAACTCCCCAGATGGTTGCAACAGCTAGTGCTGGGCCAGGCAGAAGTCAGGAGACAGAAGCCTCTTCGGGGTCTCCCACAAGGGTGACAAGGGCCCAACCACCTGGGCCATCCTCCCCTGCTCTTCCCAGACCATTAGCAAGGAGCTGGATTGAAAGTGAAGCCAGTAGGATATGAACCAACTCCTGTATGTTGAAGTTAAGTTTTAATCTTTAGTAATAGAGAATATATTTTCTGAAAGGATGTGATAATATCCAAATTATCTTCCTGAAATTTTCAAAATGACTCACCCCTCACCCTTCACCAAATTCACAAGGTTATGTCCCCAGCCATCCCGTTTCTGATGTGTGCCCTTGTTGGGATATGTGTCACCAATGCTTTTGGCCACCAGCATGAAAAGTGTTAGGGACGCATCATTTTGTTCATTAAGGAATCATTTCACTTCAGCCAGAGGCCCCATCAGCTTGCTGAGCATGTGCTATGAAGTGGGCATGGCTTGGCATTGCTTGTTCGTGAACAGCCATTTCTGCTCTCAGATCACAGTCTAGCCCGACTGCTGGAGCCTGGAGGAAGTGAGTAGAGGTTCCTTCGGTGACTGGACAGTCACTCTTGCGTGTAGTGAAGATACAGTCAATGTTTCCTTTATCTTTAGAAGTGTAATGCGCTACACAGGGAGACGTTTCACAGATGGCGGTTTTGGAGAGCTGGGTAGAGGTGACTGCAGCTGGATTTTGTCTTTGTGATGAAAGCCATTGGCTCAAACACAGGACGAAAGAGGGTCCTTCAGATGTTAGACTCGCCTTGCTCCAGTCTACTGAAGTACTATTTAAAAATTCTGGCTTGCTCTTTGAATTTTATTTCCATTTCCTCTGCAGTTACGGGACAGCCATCTTGACAAAGTCTTTTCGTCTTCTGACCTGTTGATATAATCTTCACTGTTCACCTGTTCTTCCTAACCCTGGTCCGGTCTTGTAACTTGCACCACTGATTCTAGTCTGCCTTCCTCCGTCAGTCCCCAGTCGCTTGTGTTCTTACAGGAGGTACTTAAAAAATTCCTGGCAAAACAGAATGAAAAACAAGTTGGTTTTCTGTCCAAAACACATTGAAATCTATGGGTAGATTTTTTTTCCCCCATAAGACACACTTCCATGAACTTTTTGAATATACTGCAAAGTCATGGATTGCTAAATGTTTTTGAATCTGAGAAATTTATTTCTCAATTTCATTTTCTGTGAATTTTAAGAAAAGATTTATTTATTTATTTGAAAGGAGAGTTACAGAGAGAGTGGGACACACACACACACAGACACACACACACATTTTCCTATATATTGGTTCACTCCCCAATGGCCCCAATGGCCAGGGTTGAGCCGGGATGAAGCCAGGAGCCTGGCAGTCCATTTGGGTCTCCCATGTTGGTGGCAGGGAACCAAGCACTTGGACCGTCTTCTCCTGCTTCCCAGGCACATTAGCAGGGAACTGGATTGGAAGTGGAGTGGCCAGGACTCTAACTGGCACTCACCTGGGATGCCCTTGTCACAGGCTATGGCTTAACACGCTGTGCCACAATGTTGTTCCACCATGAAAATTTTTGAAGTATTCTCATACTTGCCTCATTTTATGTCTTATTTTGTTCGTGTTAAACACTTACTTTTTGAATACCATATTTAAGTACATAAAAATGAGCACTGCCCATCTCTTTGTTAGAAACACCGTTAAAATTGCTGTTGTCCTTATATGTGACTATACTTATATGTGACTATTTCAGTTCCTGGAGAAGTGACCAAGCCCACTGTCTCATCCGTTCACACATTGCATTTACTAGCAGGTGTTCTTGTGGGACTGCTAACGCGGTGTCTTCTCTGTCCTGCAGTCAAAGTGGAAAAGAGCCCCCCGGTCAAGGGCTCCCTGTCGGGAAGAGCCAGCTTACCCTGCCATTTCTCAACCATGCCCACCTTACCACCCAGTGACAAGGCCAGCGAATTCCTCCGCATCAAATGGTCCAAGATCGAAGTGGACAAACGCGGGAAAGACTTGAAGGAGACGACTGTCCTCGTGGCCCAAAACGGGAATATCAAGATTGGGCAGGACTACATAGGGAGAGTGTCCGTGCCTACACACCCTGAGGACGTGGGCGATGCCTCCCTCACCATGGTCAAACTGCGCGCCAGTGACGCGGGCCTCTACCGCTGTGACGTCATGTACGGGATTGAAGACACTCAAGACTCGGTGTCGCTGGCCGTGGATGGTGAGGCTTTCCAAATGCATATGGAGGCTGTTGTCCAGGGTTTGCACTGGTGGGGAAAACATGCATCCACCCAGCAGTGTGGAATGTTCTGAAAATAATAGATGCCTCAGGAGATAGTGCAGTCCAGCAACCATGATTGTGCTATTGAGAACTGTCAGTGATGAGCTTTCGAAGATGTAAAGGCTTGTTCATTTTAATGTTTACATATGTGCGTGTGCACATAAGCAAATACATATATGTATATACTCACATGCACATGTACATGTAAAAATTTGTCCCTTTTTTCTGAGTATGATTGTTAAAATATTTAGGTTTTCTTTTAAGAAATATACCATTTATATTCTTCACTTACATTGAAGAAATAAGATACTTAAAAAACACCGTGGTACATACCAAAGTGTCTGAAAGAGGCCAAGACCCAACAGATATTTGAGTTGGAGCAAAACAAGACCCAGGGAAGATTTGCAATAGGCATTTTAGTTTTGCCTTTCTTTTAGTGGTGGTTTATGTGTCACTTGAATTTAAGTTGGGAGACAAAGCAAAGAAAAATCGCTTTAATTGGGTACACACATAATGCCATAGCTCTTGGAAGCATAGTGTTCTGGCAAGTTATTAAGCAAAATTCTAATACCCAGACATGATGGAACAGATTTTCCTCCAACCCTACATTTCCCTATAAAACATTTACCTTTCAGAAATACATGCAAAGGGCTTTATTAAAACTCTTTGTTGTAAAGCCAAAAGGAAATACTTTGAATTTCAGATGCAACAAATTAACTCCCCAAGCACATTTTTACATTCAGCTTCTATTGCTCCCGTCTTAGACCTATTGCACCCATGTCCAGGTAGCCACAAAATCCCCTGGGCTCTTCTAACTTGTTCATCATTTACTTTAGTTAGCCTACAGCTGTACTGTTGTTCACTCTCTTTCTTATAGATACCATTTTTTTAAAAATCCCCAAAGGAGTTTAACAACTTCTTGCAATTTTTCATCGTTAAAGAATTAGTGATGGATTTGCCCCTTGCCCCTCTGAAACAATGAAAATCCTCCACTTAATCCCCTTAGCCCCATGGGGTCTTCAAATTATTCCAACAGTTGTGAATACTTAGAGAGACTGATGCTCTCTGCCTTGGTCATGAAGGCCCCTTTGTGAGCCGTTACTGCCAATCTCAGGAGCGCATGGAAGATTTTAAATGACCCGCAAGGCTCTTGGAAGCTTTGATGAACTTAGCACTAATTTGCAACTGTTCAGTCTCCTGCTTAAGCCAGAGAGAGGGTTGTGTGCTCTCTCCGATAGTTTTGTTTTTATTTTGAAAGGCCTTCCTTTGGAATCATGAAAGAAGGGAATGGCAAGATGAGTGTCAGAGTTGTCAGTGCCACTCCTGGGCCTGAGCAGGTGTTGGGGTTCACACGGACCCCCAGGTGCTTGTCTCTGAGACGGGCTACTGTCCTGCAGGTGTCTCCTGGTGTACACCTGTCTTGGAAGAGGGAGACAGTCTAGGGTGGACATGTGAGAGACAGTCTGAGAGCCACAAGTCAGACTATGGCAGAAAAACTGTGGTGAACCCCTGGAAACTAGTAGGAATAAGAAAAAGTGACTGATATCTTCGAAACTACAACTCATTCCAAATAGCAACAACAATGGGTGAACTTGAATATCATGACTGTTAATAAAACCTCATTCATAAGACCCAGTGGTCCCACTTTCTATGTTACAGAGACTTCCCTAGCGTGTTAATTTGGCTCATGTTGACGGATTGTAGAAATGAGTCATGGTAATTACTCCAGTTAAAATTGGAAGTTCTCCTGTTGGGATGGGAAGAGAAGACCCAGCCCTCCACCCCCAGCTGTTATTTCCTCACTCCTTAGACAATTTCTTGAGCCTTGTTGCCCAGTTCTACGCCACCACAAAGAGAAGGCTGCCCGGCTTCCACTCGGGGAAGTCTGGAGAAGTTTATTTCAGGCCTTGTTTGGGATGAAAATTGTACATGCTGTCCCTCCCAGCAAGGACCCTAAGCTGTGCTGGTCAGACAGAAAACATGATAAACACATGGGCAGTCCACAGTAGCTTGCTCAAGGTTTAAAAATGCTTTTAATTTGGTCGGCAGATCAATCAAATAATGCCAACAATGTTGGTTCTACTTTATAGGGCGGGACATTGAGACTCAAGGAGCTCAATTTGTATGTGAGTAGGGAACAAGAAGCCAGGAGTTAGTACAAATGTTTGTGCTCATATGCAATCCAGTGTCTTTTCCATCTTATTCTTCCTGCAAGTGAAGAGCTTGATGTTTTTGGAGGAAGGGCATTTGTAAATATTTTCCTAGGACAGGTGAATGCTTCATGCAGTCATGTTGGGTTGGCCCTGGGTAAAACTCAGGCAGGGGAGTTGGTCTTCTGCCACCTTCCTTTCTCTGTGTTCTGCAGAACCTGTTTCCTTTTTTTGGGTGCCCAGTGTTCCCTTGGTAGCCTGCTTATCGCCTGTAGTGAGACCTGCCGTTTACTCCCTGCGATTGGCAGGCTTTCATCTCTGTCTTGGGGTGTTCACATGTTAACAGGAAAATCCTGGCCAGGAAACATTCCAGTGGTATATACCAGGGGTGGTATATATCCAGTATATACCAGGGGTGGTATATATCCAGGGGATATGCCTAGATGGATGTCCTTGTTGGAGCTCCTCAAACCGACATGTAGCATAATGCTATATAGAGTCAAAACCAGAAACTGGCGAGGTGCTATTGCTATGTTGCACATTAATTTGAACTAGTGCTCCCACGTGGAGCTGCGCACCGGGTAGTAAGCGGCTTGAACCTGCCTGTATCTCTCTTTGCAGGTGTCGTGTTCCACTACAGGGCGGCCACCAGCAGGTATACGCTGAATTTCGAGACAGCTCAGAGGGCCTGTGTGGACATCGGGGCAGTCATAGCAACCCCTGAGCAGCTGGCTGCTGCCTACGAAGATGGCTTTGAGCAATGTGACGCGGGCTGGCTGTCTGATCAGACCGTCAGGTGAGGGTCCGGGGGCCGCGGGCTTGTTTAAGTCATTGCTGGGGAAGCGAGAAGAACATGCTGCTTACTTGCCCTGTATTTCCCCAGATACCCGATCCGGACGCCCCGGGAAGGTTGCTATGGAGACATGATGGGGAAGGAAGGAGTCAGGACCTACGGGTTCCGCTCTCCACACGAGACTTACGATGTGTACTGCTACGTGGATCATCTGGACGGTAAGATGCTTTTGCCTCCTCTCGCTTCGTCTCCCTGAGAAAATTCGGGCAAGACCAGAGGCACGTGGGGATGGAGCAGGTCTGCGTGCGTGTTGACTGCAAACAGCAGCATTTTGGTTCAGTGACTGTATGATTTTGTGGTAAAATAAACTTTAATTAAAGTGGAAGGGGAAGGAGCCGTGTGTAAGTGGTCGTGCAGGTTAGAGAGGTCTAGGTTAATGGCAGGTTTGCTCACAGCCGAGCTGCTCTTGGCTGGCGTCCAGTCCACATTTGGAACACCAAGAATAGAAGGCTCGGAGGGCGGTACCTATTCTAGCGAGGACTTCAGGTAAAAATCCTGGGGACAAACCACTGGGATCCTACGTCTGGATAAACACCCCCAGGGAGCAGTTCTGTCAGCTAGCGCAGGAGGGACGTGCACGCTTCTCCTGGCTGCTTTGTGAGAGGAAACTCCTGCACACTGCGTCACACCAAAGACACCTACTGTGTGGCAGGTGCTCTGCTGGTGTCGGAGCCGTTGTACACCCTTCTCTCAAAGGTGCTCGGCATCTGGTTTTTTGGGTCATTTTCTTCTCTGCCTGAGTTCCAGGCTTGAAGTCAGCTACGAATTCAACAGTGCTGATGGTTTTTAAAAAGCACAATGAAGTTTTGTTATAAAAACACGCAGAATAGGGGTTTCTTTGACCTTTGAATTGGATTTCCGTTTGTGTTAGCAGGTATCTTAGGAGCCCGGATTCATAAATAGCAGCATTAAATTGAATCACACCGTGAATGTTGGCTGGGTACACGTAGAATAACTGCAATTGTTTTTTATGTGTACAATAAGGAGGTTGGACTAGATGGTTCCTCCCAACAATTGCATTCTGTGATTCCGATGTCTGTGGTTAGATTGTTTTTGGAAAGATATAGGTAAGATCTAATTGACCTAAGAGATTTTTACCAAAGACTTTGACATTTTGAAATGGTAGGCACTCAGGTCCAAGTTCATGGCCTGACCCAAAGACACGTAAGCATCTCAAGTCAGACTCCTTGATGGCAAGTCAGGCTTGTCTGCTCGGGATGCCAGTGTCAGGAGACCCCAAGGAGAGCCTGCTGTGTGTCTGCCCCCAGTTAGGTCTGGAAACCCCCTAGAATATTCCTCTCCAAGGCTGTGGGCCCCCAGCTCCAGGTCAGGTCTTTCAAGCCTGGGGGAGGCTTATGCAGAAGTGTGGCCAAACCTGGCTCTCTGTGAGACCCTTGACTGCACCTGCTGGGGGTTGGCTCCAAGTCACACACCCAATGTCTAAGAACTGGGCTTTGCCGGAAGAGTAGCTCGGAGGATGTGTGCAGAGTCCACTGCGAGGAAGGGTTTACTGGTCTGGCCAGAGTCCTTTCCCACCTCCACAGGCATGGTCACTTCTCAGGCACATGTGATATGTAAAATTAGTGGGCCGGCGCTGCGGCTCAATTGGCTAATCCTCCGCCTGCGGCACCAGCACACCAGGTTCTAGTCCCTGTTGGGGCGCTGGATTCTGTCCCGGTTGCCCCTCTTCCAGGCCAGCTCTCTGCTGTGGCCCGGGAGTGTAGTGGAGGATGGCCCAAGTGCTTGGGCCCTGTACCCCATGGGAGACCAGGAGGAAGCTCCTGGCTTCAGATCAGTGCGGTGTGCCGGCCGCAGCACACCAGCCACAGTGGCCATTAGAGGGTGAACCAACGGTAAAGGAAGACATTTCTCTCTGTCTCTCTCACTGTCCACTCTGCCTGTCAAAAAACAAACAAACAAAACGAGTGTCTGTCCCCAGGGTCGCCAACTCTCTATGGTTACTTGGGATAAACGCTGCACGTATTGGATCACCGAGGAACTGCATGTACAGTACAGAGTAACTTTAGTAAGGGCATTTATACCAGATCAGCAGATTTTTAAATAAGATTTCTTTATGTCTTTGAAAGGAAGAGTTACAGAGAGAGAGAGGGAGAGACAGAGAGAGAGGTCTTTTTTCCACTGGTTCACTCCCCAAATGGTCGCAATGGCCAGGGCTGAGCCAAGCCAAAGCCAGGAACGAGAAGCTGCATCTGGGTCTGCACGCTGGTGACAGTTGGCCAAACACTTGGGCCATCTTCTGCTGCTTTCACTGGCCATTAGCAGGGAGCTGAATCAGAAGTGGAGCAGCTGGGACTTGAACTGGTGCCCATGTGGGGCGCCAGTGTCACCTGCTGCTCTGTAACACTGGCCCCCCAACCCCAAATTAGTAGAATTTGAACCTTTTTGTTTTAATATGCAAACATAGGAAGAGAACAATGAACGAGTCAGTAAAATTTCATAAAAGTTTAACAGTTCTGCAGAACATTCAGTGTGTGTTTACAGCAGCGTGGTCCTGGGAATCTTTTCTTCGTTGTTTCTTGGCTCTTGGAATAATAAGCAGCTTTTTGGACACAGCGCTTTTCTCTCTTCCTTTGGAACTGGACAGGGACAGGTAAAAGCGGAGCTTTGCGTTCGATGATGTCGGAGGACGATCACAGATCATTCCTCCAAGCTCTCTCCCATCCCTGCACACGAGAGTGTGCCTTCCCTTAGCAGAAATGACCGTGGCGTCACTGTGGATTGATAAGCATTCTCAAGGGAGAGTGGACTGTATACAGCTCTGCTGTTTCAGTTGCCCCACTACAGAAGATTATTTGAAAGTGCGGCAGAATTCTTCATGAGAGTCATTGATTGCTGCATTCGTGGGTCTAACAATTCCCACCCATGTGTTGCAGCATTTTGGGGAGCCACATGCGTGTTTTTGTGAGATGTTGCTGTACTCAGAATGCGTGTGATGACATGGACATAGATGCAGTGGTCACGAGCCACGATGCGATTACTTTAGATCAGAAGTGACACGATTCCCGATGCTCTAATGGAAAAGTCAGCTAAGTATGAAATAAAACCCTGCTCAAAAAGGCGATTCATTTTGTATTTTAATTTAGTTATTTATCATGACAGATACTTGGTTGACAGAACGTCAACCTTCTGATTTTTCTCCTTTCTTTTCCTATATCCTATTTATCCCAACATAATGTGTTTCTTCATAAAATTAAATAATCACATTAAATCATATCATCATCTTTGGATGAGATAAATGAATCCGCTTCTTTTTCTAAGACAATGATTATAACACAGTTATTTAAATGCATACAGTATTCAATTCTATTTTAAAAAATACCTATCAGGTGTAATAAAGCAAGTAAGTTAGCTGTATCCACTAGCGAGTATTTGTGGTTTTTGTTTCAAGTTTTCTTTAAAAAAAATTTGCATTTTATTTGAAAAATAAAGAGACAGGTAGAGATGTTCCCTCTACTCATTCATTCTCCCAAATGCCTGCAACAGCCAGAGTGCGCATTAGCAGGAGCTGGGGACTCAGTTCAGGTCTCCTAAGTGGGAGTCAGGGACTCGTGTGTTGGACCGTCACCTGCTGCCTCCAGGCTGTGTGTTTGCAGGAAGCTGGGTTGGACTTAGAGCCAAACTGGAACCGAGGGACACCAGCACTGGGTGTGGGCATCCCAGACACTGACTTCACCACTGCACTAAACGGCCGCCACCAGCTTGTGTTCTTAGAAGTGGACTGCCATAGGCCGGCGCCGTGGCTCACTAGGCTAATCCTCCGCCTTGCAGCGCCAGCACACCGGGTTCTAGCCCCGGTTGGGGCGCCAGATTCTGTCCCGGTTGCCCCTCTTCCAGGCCAGCTCTCTGCTGTGGCCAGGGAGTGCAGTGGAGGATGGCCCAAGTGCTTGGGCCCTGCACCCGCATGGGAGACCAGGAGAAGCACCTGGCTCCTGCCTTCGGATCAGTGCGGCGGCCATTGAAGTGTGAACCAACGGCAATGGAAGACCTTTCTCTCTGTCTGTCTCTCTCTCTCACTCTCCACTCTGTCTGTCAAAAAAAAAAAAAAAGAAGTGGACTACCATAAACAAGAGTGTCAGTTGTGAAATCAACAGCAGGAGTCACTGTGCACCTGCTCCCCATGTAGGACCTCTGTCCTTAATGTGTTATACCATGTGAATTAACGGTATAATGCTTGCGGGTGGGAGAGTGGTTATGGGGGGAAAAAGCCTCTATAATCTAAAAGTTGTACTTTGGAAATTTATATTTATTAAATAAAGTTTTGAAAAAGTAGACTTCAGGTTATGATGACTTGTCAGACGCGATTCAGTAGTGGAGTACTATTAAGAAATTGGTGGAACTAGGATTCTGTAGGAATCTAGAAGTTCAGATATGTAAAATAATCCTCATTAAGATGCTTAATCTGTGTTTCCCCACACGGTAGGTTTGTGAAATGCTGAGAGTGTTTTCAAATACAGTTCAGGTGACTACATGGTGCCAAAAAGTAGGTAAAGGATTGGAATTACGGCTACTCCTTGATTTCTGATAGAGTCACATCCCAGTAAACCCATCGTAAGTTGACAGTGCGTTGAATGCTCCCGAGCCACTGGACATCCTAGTTTGGCCACCCAGCGCCTGTGGCAGTGGGGCGTTTGCCCTCACGGGACAGGGCTGGCCGAGAGCTGGACTTGTTGCCACTGCTCAGCATCACCAGAGGATTCGAGTGAGTGTCATTAGCCTGGGAATGATCAAACTCAGAATCCAAAACCCAGTTTTCTAATGAATGCTTATTGTTTCCCTGCCACTGTGAACTAAAAAATCGTAAGTTGAGCAGGGATAAATTAGGGGCCATCTGCGTTTAGGAGTGGTGAGGGCGGTAATGAGGGAGGCCTCTGGGAAAAGCACCTGGGTTCCTTGATACTAAGCATAGGAAGACACGCGCTAAGTCCCAGCTGTGTCATTTACAAGTTGTGGGATCCGGGCAAAGCTTCAACCCTGAGCTTGTTCTTCTGTGAAATGGGCACGTTTCTTCATCATGGTGTGCAGATCGAATGAGATAAATGCCAAGCGTTGATTGTGCAGCACCAAGTATGTGCTCAATAAGTAATGCTTGTCCTTAGAGTTTCTGGCTCTGTGGGAGGATTTTTTCATGAATGGCTTT